ACACGTTGTCTTGAGTTGCTTCGAGCTAGTTATTTTAGAGTTATTGAGTTAATTAAAACAGAAGTGAATATAATAATTTAAATGTAAATTCGGGGTGCATCCTTTCATATTGACTTGAAAAAAATAATTGAAGATAAAAAATTAACCCAGAATTATGAAAATTTCAACACAGATTGCAAATCTAATAAAGCAGAGAGATTGAGATTTTACACTAGCGAGGATAATGCCATCTTAGGTGACGTTTAACCTCAACGATACGTAGAAGCAGGGTCACATAAAATAGCGTTGTGGCATCGTGTCGTAAACACAAATAGTCATTATTTATGGTAATGTTTCGGAACGTAACGAACTTCAATGGATAGGGTGAAGATGTAGATGAACCAAGACGCTATACTAACGGACGGGGGCTGTCTACTCATACTGTAATTAAACTTCATCGTCGGAAGACCGAAGTTTTATTCTAACGTTCTTCACAACTCATATAAGTGTTGAACATACATCATGTTATCCCCAAAACATCATTTTAAACCACTGTTGAATATAGGCACCCGAGGGCTATTTCAAGTTTATTTTTTATTTAATCTTTATTGCCTACCTTCAGTAAAACAAGGTAACAAAGGGCGAATTTAATGCCCAAAGGTATTTTTTTACTGATACACGTGAAGCTAACATAGTTATTTCAAAACATAATGATAAGACATTGTCTTACTTAGACCATCGTAAGACCTACATACAAAGTGAATAACAATTGTAAAATGAAGGTTTTGATTTATACCAGATTTGATATGATAATTAAATATGACTATTTAGTATATGTATATATATAAGACTATTTATTACGTCTCAAAAGAATGACCCTGCATCAGAATTTTACATATTATTTATTTTATTTATACGAAAAGTTGTCAAACGAGCACACGGTTCACCTGATGTTAAGTGAATACCGCCGCCCATGGACATCTGCCACACCCGAGGGTTACAGATGCGTTGACAACCTTTTGAAAATTGGTGTCCGGCTACCTCACTCACCAGACGAAACGCGAAAGTATTTGTCATACTTCCACATACGCCCGTCTTCTGTGAGGTCGTGGTACTTACCCGGACGGGCCTGCCCATTCGTGCAATAGCCGAGGCTGCTGCGTGGCCCTACCACCGTTAAACAATACAAACACATAAAAAAACATATCCCCAAAACAGGATTGCTGAATTTGAAGCAGGTTCATTTAGTTTTGTTTCCACACTATTATTAGTGTTGTGTCTTGGACTTATTATTTTATTTATTTCTTTATTTTTTTCCGCAATACTACACATATCGCCTATCAAAGAGACGCAACGACAAACTCAGGAAAGACCGATTAATAGCCATCATATTAACGGGATTTATCTGGTGTCAATTTATTTATAAAATTGTAGTAGCATTGCTGAATGGTATATAACAAATGTTTTCTATGAGATGGGGCTCTGTTATCTCGGCTAAAAACATTAAAATAGCTCGCAAGGGTCTGCTCCCAGACACATCCTAATATTAAGGGATGGTCCTAACAATGCTTTAAACACACAAAGAGAAAACATGGGCGTAGTAGAATTAAAATGTAAATGTCCACCAAAAATATGCCCGAATTGAACACTATTGTCATATTTTATATACCTTTACTGTACAAAGCTTTAATAGCTATTAAAACGCTTTGGAAATATGATATTACATGTTAACTTATATTTTGTACGAGCGTCCTGTACACACGATTTAAATCCGACAACAACCTATAAAGAAAAAATATATAAAAAATTGTAGTGGACAGAGTTGTGAATAATACCATTGTCGAATCAACCTGAAGACACATAAAATTTTATTAAAATCGGTCCAGTCGTTTAGGTGGAGTTCAATGACATACACAGACACAGAAGAAAGATATTTATTATCTGACTGTATTAAGGCTTATGAAGTTTGTTGTCTTAAAAAGTTTATTGTATGAAGCGTTACTGATGGATATTAATTATTCTTGTGCTTTTCTTTGGTGACAGCCGTTAGTTTGACATCCAATAAAATTATATTAAAGGTACGTATGAAGTATCGATTTGAGTACCTCCTTGCACCAAAAATACAAAACAAAAAATATTATAGCTGACAAAATTCATGATTGGTATTTCTAAATTCGCGGCCAATCGGCAAACAACTAGGTGAATATTTGCATTTATATGTCCACTTTATTAGGTCACCCTAACACTGTTTGGAGAAGCAGATCGTTTTGAGCCAATTGAACGGCAACGGAGTCAGGGTACGTACAAGATATTCACGACACAGTTACGAAGGTAATGGGTAGCAACATACATCATGCGGTTCACCGAATATACCGAATATTCGCCAAGCTTTCTCGTCGAATAGCCGAATATCAGGCAAAAATATTCAGCCAGCGTGTAGCGAGCAAACTTGTTTCGACTAGATTCTTTCTAGTTCTTTTACATAAACGCTTACTAGCGATAGGTATTTGACATTAGCTTCACAATACTTACGTCAAAATTGTGTCTGCAGTAACAAATTTATCTGTAGATATAATATTGAAACCGGCCGTTAGTGATCCGTTATTTGCCTATCCTAGTAAAGTTATAGCTGTCAAATTTGATAAGAGTATATTTTAGCATTTGCGTTGTTGCGTGGAATGATGAAGCATTATATAAATGGAAAAATCCTCACCTTCTACAATATGTCAAAATTGTTACAATCCTTACTAATATTATAAACGCGAAAACGAATATTATAAACGTTTGTATGTATGGATGGATGTTTGTTATTCTTTCACGCAAATACTACTAAATGGATTTTCATGAAACTTTACAATAATATAGCTTATACATGAGAATAAAACATGAGCTATAATTTATATACATATTTTATTTATCTGTCTTTCTGTCTGAATGTTACGCTTTCAGCCTAATCTACAGCCGGCAGCAGCTAATTTATAATAAAAATCAATGCTCTGTTCGCTTAACGCGTTCGTTAGTTGTTGCGTCGTTGAGACAATCGATTTTATTATCGACATAGCATTGCTTCTGTGTCCAATGAACCCAAGATTGCTGGACCATGTTGTTGGCTTTAGGGGCAGTATTCGAAAACACCCGCGTCGTGCTCAAGAGCTCGATTTTTCTGCGACATCAATTTTAAATCGAGACTTGAGATTATGAATCGAGACCTTTCTTTTCATGCATTCCACGTTGAAATAACTCTAGAAATTGAACGCAAAGACAACAACAGAGCCGTGAACTAATTAGATAATTTGGCTTGGGCTGATACTGTTATGGGGAAAAAATCGGATAACGCGTCGCCCCTTACCATACAGCACGGAAAACAATAGAAAATTGATGTGAAGTTCCAGGGCTTTGTCATTTCACAAGGTGGACATCAGCTGACGATAGACATTAACTAACTTAATACTGCTCGGCTACTTTCTGTAAAGATATGTGAAATCTCAGGTCTATGCTATTGCTGCGGCAGGGCCACGCAGTAGTCCATTTGAGCGAATTTTATTGCATACTTTTTTTATACTTACCTGATGTTAAGTGATAACCTCTGCCCCTGAACATTCGTAACACCCATAGGATTGAACATGGGTTGCCATTTTTAATAAAGTGACTTACTTCCACTTCATGCCAGTCCTCTGTGAGACCGTGTTACTTCTTGTATAATTTTGTCATTTCATCGAATATTCTTTGAAGTTAAATATAGCTATAGTTCTTGATTAGTTATTCTATTCCATTTCCAAGTTCGAGCGCTCTTAATGAAAAATACTTTTTAATTTAAATAACTTATAAATATTCATAAGATGCTTTCTTATCAATATTCTAATGTTATAAACTAACACCAACACAGCATAATAATCAATTGAAGTTTTGACTTTTATAAAGTAAAATAAAACATTAATGTAAGTACCCGGAGGACCCGGGTTTGTTTTTTTTTTTTTTGGTAAATCGTGTATTTTGGAAATTACATTTAGATACAAATCACTAAGTAATGAAATATGCATAATATGTTTCAATCTTACCGACGTAATAATAAGAAAATATGAACTGGTGTTTTCCACAAAAGAAAGAATTAAAAAAAAAAGGGAAGAAAATAACAAAATAACAAATCGACAAAAAATAACAGATAAAGAAAGCAATGATCTGGAATCGAGAAAAAAGTAAAAAAATAAGTATGTAAATGATCGTGATACGAACCACGGCCTTCTGTTTCGTGGCTGTTTGTTAGCGGCCGCCCGATTACCGACCGAGCTATTATAACATTTTTTTTTGCGGCGAAATTTACCGTCGTATTCGAATGATATTTTTCATTCCCTAAAAACAGGGATAAAAAGACATTTTCTAAAAATGAAACCTCGTCAGATCGATTTTTCGACCCCGAATCTACGCACATACTAAATTTCATGAAAATCGCTGGAGCCGTTTCCGAGATTCCAATTATATATATATATATATATATATATATACAAAAATTGCTCGTTTAAAGGATAAGAAAGAAGATTACCTACTACTTTCTTAATGCGAAGCTATTTTTGAGATGCCTTTGCCTGTGATCACGAACACTTCAAAATAACTTTAATGTCGGGAATCTAAAATTAAACACGAAGGAATCGAAATATCGAAGTTGACATTCCTGACATAGCAACAATATGTTTAGCTTCAGTTACAATGTAGGTCTCCACACCGTCGGTATTTTAAAATTCAACAGTAAAAATAATCAAATTTCCAACATAGCAACAATGCTACTATGTTATAAAAAATGTTCGCTGAAACGTATATTTTAATATATCTTACTTGGTGCCTCTTACAGCCAATCTAAATCAGCTACGGGTAAAAAAAGAGCGTTTGCATAAGACAATTAAACGAGCAAAAAGTCACAGTAATACTGTAATTATCTTATAAAATAAACAATCGCCAATAGGAATCGGCGCAGTGTCGTGCGTGAGTTCGGTGCAGACGCACGTGTCCGCTACCGCAAAGTAAAAATGGCGACGATAAATTCAATTCTCTTCTTCCTCGCGCTCTTCGTCTTCGAAGCTCGGGGTTCGAATCCCGTGGTGCGGATACCCCACGGCCTGCTCCAAGGCACTTGGCGGATTTCCACGAACGGCAGGAACTACGCAAGTTTCCAGGGAGTCCCATACGCCAGACCGCCGGTTGGGAAATATAGGTTTAGGGTACGTATTAATTTTTCCGTACCCTTGAACTTTGACACTAACTAACAATGCAAAAACTAACGCGGGTAGACGTTTGAAATTCTCCGAGTACGTTGAATCCAAAAAAGTATCATTCGTCTTCAATACAATGACTTTACCTACTATCTTTATTGTTTTACGATGTGGTGTCCCAGATTCGAACCTGAGTTTTACTTGTGAATTTTTTACTTAACTCTTAAAAAAGTAAAGATATAAAATGGAGAGTACCATTGTCAAATAATTAAATGTTATCAAAAAGTCAATTAACTTAACGCATTTTAATTTTATATTTATATTTAATAAACGTGCAATTGCATAGTAATGTTTATTGGTCGGGTTTCGTCTTACGGTAGCGGTTTCAAATTCATGTTGCACCCACACAATTCCGTGTTTTAAATTTATGTATACAAATAATTGCAAACCACTTGTCACGTTCGGGACTACGTAAAGTTACAATTAGTTAAACGCGGGTTACAATTCATTTGTCTTAATAAATTTGGTAAAATTTTCCATTAGCGCGCGGCTGTTTTTCGACCATTATATTTAAAAAAAAATTCATCGTCGCTACTACTACTATGTACTATTCAGTTTTTTAAGTCAAATTAGTAAAATGGCGGACCTTTTTAGTGAAAATAACGCTTAAAATATTTTTTTTTCTCAATAACTATAAGCGACCGCCGAATTCTGTTTTTTGATTATTTAATTAATGATTTTTTTACCGAATGAATTTTTGTTAGGTCGAAAAACACCCGCGCGCTAATGGAAAAAAATGTCATCAATTTTACTACTTGTTGTTCTTCCTTCTGTATATGAAAATTAAAGTTTGTATTTTTGCCCTCTATACGCTTCTGAACGTTCCATCAGATTGTAATGAAAATTTGGCGAATGTCTGGCATACGCACACAAACGGTCCTCAACCGTAAGTAAAGAGTTTCGTTTGGCACGTTTGTCCTTTATAACAGTTAAAAGTTAAGTAACAACCTATATATGTATCACTGCAGTGTCCGATACCCTGCAGTGATATATAGCCTCCTTTGTACAGAGGGTATTATTAGGGCACAGTCCACCACGCGACCGAGGATTACGGACTTCGCATATCTACAATTTTTCTCTTTATTATTCGGAAAATGTGCAGATTTGGGGCGATTTTTTCCTTCAAAGTCAAAGTCAAATATCTTTATTCAATATAGAAGCATTACACTTACTTATTGATAGTCAAAAAACTCTACTACCGCTTCGACACTGGGCACGTGATAAATCGGCCCAGCGCACGTGATAAATTAGCACTTGAGTTGCAACTAAAAATTTCATTTGTACCGGCACCAGTATTCGAACTCGGGCTGGTCGTATATTGAATGAAAAAACGAGCGCTGAGTCATCAAGCTGTCACAACTAGTGAAGGTTGTAATTTGGTTTTTTGTATAAAAGACTTTCTCCTTAATGCAAAAACATAAAACCTTGATGTTGTTTACATTTTTTTTTCTTCATTAGCCATTGCAACACATGCAGGGTAATGCTAGTTAAACTTGAAATACTTTTCAACGAATATAATAAATTAAAATATTAGTAACCTCTGGCAACGCTAACACTTACAAATAAAAATTTGCGATGTGTTAACAATATGCAAATGTACAATCCCCTCATTATCGACCTGCATCCATCAAAAAGATAATTTATGTAGTGAGATCTTTCAATTCCGTTCAGGCTTGTGGTTCCAACAGTTTTGCACTACCCACATCTACTGTTTTTATTTTTTGTGTCACAATGTCTGCGGTCATTTAAAGGTTTTGTTTAATTTTAGGAACGAACTTCAATTATAATTTGTAAAAAATATAATATTTATTTAAAATAGTAATGATTTTATTGACACCAGAAAAATATTTACAATATTGATCAATGGTAACTAAATAACGCGTTATCCAACAAGCCTATTTTTATGAACGAAAAACAAAACCAACTGTTGGGGCTAACTCCTAACACCGGATATGATGTTATAAATGATAATAGATACTGATATGAGACACTTTATTACTAAATTGATACAGTTAAAATGATACTTATAATATGATGTGATATTTATGATAGTTATGATAAGTAGGTATGATATTTTGAGAACGCGTGGTTTGCTTGATGACCGAACGTGAACTGATTGATTGTCGCGGTATATTTTAATGCTTACAGCGTATTGATGGACTTTAGGTAAAAAGTGCAAACAAAGCTGTTTGGTTCAATATTGAACCGAACGTGCTCCCGGGCGGGAGATAAAATGAATCGTAATGATTGAGAGATACATGACAAATTGCAAATAAATGATGATACATACAATTAACTTAAAGTCTACAATCTTATACTAGAGAGTCTGATATTCGCTTATGAACTATAGGGGAAGTGGCTTTGTCCTGTTTACGCGCACTTCGAATTACACTAGGCCAGCGAGTGACCTTGGTGTGTGACTGTATGACTACACTAACATTGTCAAACTCAATGCCGCATTTATCACTATCACTAAGCTGACGGTCAGCTGTGCTCTGCTTTCGCGGTAACACTACACTGTTCACCACTGCACTGGCATTGTCAGACGAAGCTCTTGGTGGACATTCTTGCTCGGTCGTCGCGGTTGCTCGTTGCTGCCGTTTTTGACTATGGTACGCTGGTATACAAATATCTCGCTCGGTTATTCATTTTATAATTGATTTTTAGAAGTTCCCTTAGTATCTCCGGAGCCCAAGATCCAATACCAATGAAATTAATATGAATACCACATGGGAAACACCAGCTTTCAAATAAAAAAAGAGTCAGCAAAATCTGTCCAGTCAATCGAAAGTTCTGAGGTAACAAACATAAATAAAATACAGTTGAATTGAGAACCTCCTTCTTTTGAAGTCGGTTAACAAAACTAGCCCACGCGGTATAGTGCCAAGAAAGCTATAGTACTTTACCTTTGAGCGAGAAATGGGCTCTATTGTGGCTGCAACAATGTCATTTAAATTGCCAGTGGATTGCGTAACGCGTCACGATATGGCGTGTATAAGAATTCTCTTAATAACGTTCATCCTATTTTGTAGACTTGTTTAACGTACACAAGTTATGTATACAAACACAGAACCGGTTCAATTATTCATCTGGCAGAGCGAACTATAGATCAAGAAGCTAACAAAGCCCTAACTGTTTATGTTGGTTCTAAAGATTAGCAATTTGTCGCAAGTTTTTTCCATAGATAAACATAAGACGTGTTTATCTCCCACAAACCTATTAACAACAAAAACATACTATATTTCGAAAGAAGCAATGAATTAAAAGTATAGTTAAATTTTACAAGTATGCAAAAAACTAATAAACAATGATATAAGCATTAATAAAAAATTATGCTGTTGCAAGAATGGGCAGGCTCGTCCAAAAAAGTACCACGGCATGAAGTGGATGTTATTATACTTTCGGGTTTCGTCTTGTGAGTGAGGTAGCCGGGGCCCACTTTTTAGCGTTCCGTATTCAAAGGGTAAAATGGGACTCTATTACTAAGACTCCGCTGTCTGTCTATCTGTCAATCTGTATCTCATGAGCCGTGATAGTTAGACAGTTGTGACAGATGATGTATTTCTGTTGCCGCTATAACAATAAATACTTAAAAAATATTTAAGTGGGGCTCCCATACGAAAGACATTATTTTTCGCCGTTTTTATACATAATGGTACGGAACCCTTGGTGCGCGAGTCCGACTCGCACTTGGCCGGTTTTCAAAGGTTGTTAAATTATCTGCAAACCCCTCGGATGCTGTAGATATCCAAGGGCGGCGATGTCCACCAAAAATCAAGCGGACCGCGTGCTCGCTTGAAAACTTATCACATAAAAAATAGCAGATGATAGGACTACTATACTTTTCTTCACTGCAGCTTCAACTATTCAAGTAGTATTGGAAGAATTCGAACCGCGGACTGCGACAGAGAGGTGCTCCAACCGATGTGCTATATATCGTCGTCAAGGATACAGCATCTGCCGCCTTCGCAGGAAATACGCTGAAGCGTGCAATAACAGCCAATACTCACTTGAGACGTGTCGTGCGCAATTTTGCGCGATTAATTTTAACTAGTAATGTCATCCAAGACGCAATGTGCATGGATTTTATAAAGACTAACGCTGACCTCGGATCCGCTCGTTTGAAATGCGCACTTATTTACGTGTCGTTCGCTTAAAATTTATCTGAATAATTTATCTGATAAACATGCTGCATGAAATCCAGGTAGGTATCGTGTTTCTGGATTTTTGGTGGCTTTTAAAATCCATAACAGACAAGCACCCCGATCTTATCGCTTACCAACTGTAACTAATTGGTCGCTGCTTAATTTTTAGTGTCAACAATAACGTAAAGAAGTTTTTTAAAAATAGAACGTTAGCATTAAACAATAAAAAAAAATATTTAGTGGAAATACAAAACAATCACTCATAATTTTTCGCAAATGGGTGAACTAAACAACTACTTCAGAAAGGAGCAAATATATCGTTGTAAATTTTGAATCGTTGTCAACATTGTTTTGTAAATATCAAAATCACTTAATGTTAGATTATTCATTTTTAACAATTCATAACATTCGGCGACAAATCATGTGCCGTTTGACAGATGGCCAGGCAAATCCCACTATATCTTAGCGACGTATTGTGAACGTATTTTATTTGGATTTAAGTACGTATTGGGTATCAAACTAAATAAGATTTAAAAAAATAGCAAGCCTTTACTACCTTCACCAATACGAATGGATATAATGAAATGTGATTTAAACCTACAAAACACTAATTGCCCACAGATTATATCACTATGTATCTACTAATAAAATAACAAATTAATTTAATTTTCACCAACTTCTAGCCCTTAGAATGACATGTGGCACATAAAAAAACAATGACAATACATAACTGCGACTCTGTATGCACTCCGGGGTTGGCAGCTCAGTATAAATAAGAAGCTACTCTTCTATCTTCAAATATAA